AAAAAACCAAGGCTCCTAGAAGTTAAGAGACGGCTTAAATCAGCAAACTGACTCCAAGCAAACTTCCCAGGAACTTAGAAGCCTTTATCCTTTTGCCTTTTTCACAGCCCTTGTGCAGCCTTATTCCTCCAGGGATCACCTCTATACCCAGCACCTAGCAAGGTGGGAATCTGAGGAGCGAATGGGCCTAAGGCTTAAGTCTCCCATGGCAGATCAGGCATCCCCCTCTCCTCCTCTTTGTGATGGTCACTGAGGCTGCTGAAGGCTGCCTGAGCATATTCAATTGGCATTTCCACCCTCCTCACGGGAGGCCTTGCCGTGGCCTCCCTTCTGCCATCATGTGGGGACTGCGCATGCCCAGGTTAGTGCAGCTACTGGTGTCCCATAACCAAGGAGGGCGGGCTTGAGGCCCCTCTGTCCCAGGGAAGCCAGGAACGAGAGCCGTGGCATCAAGTGACAGAAGTGCCCGCTCTGCCTCACCAAAGGGTCCAATTTACAGTTGCAAAATGCTGCCACTTCTCTTTGAAGTTGGAGCCTCTAAGCTGCAAGCACCGGGAAGAAAGGAGCTGGGCCAGTGCTCGCTGCACCAGCATCTCTCTCTCTCTCCCTCAGGAATCACCTTCGTCACCATCCATTGCCAAAATGAATGGAAGCTGCACAGCCGGCTTTATTAAATATGAATGAGTCGCAGCCCACGGCCCCCACGCGGTCACTCACCCACTCCATCTCTGGCAATTACTGCGTCGCACACACTGTGCCAAGGGGCGCCGCGGTCCCTGCCTGCCCTTGCAGACTGACACCGCCCAGCAGGGGCAGGGCTCAGGTCTGCAGCTGCCCCTGATGGAAAGCCACTCCTGGGCTCCCATGCAGTCAAAATGCTCTGCTCTGAAGGTGTAGGCACAGGGCACCTTCCGCAGAAGGATCGTGGATGCTTGGGCTCTGAGGTCTGGCTGGGTGTAGCCTGTGGCTTTGGAGCCCAAGGTCTCTTGGCATGATGGACTCCTAAGCTCTGTCTGCACGTTAAGGGTGTGTGGGTAACACCCAAATATTTAGATTTCAGGCAGGTTTAAGATCCAACCTGGATCAAGGTTAAGAGCATGTGGGCATGCACACACCATTACCGAGCACATATCCGATGTGTCTTAATGTTACCCTCACAAGAACCCCGTAGATTGTGAGTTTCATGTCACTGGGGTCCTTGTTAACCCTGTTCACTGTTTGTTGAATAAACAAATGAGGCGGGTGTTACTGACCATTTTGGAGCTATTGAAGTTGAGTTACAGAACTCACCAAGGTTCCACAGCTATGGAATATCAGAGCGAGGTGTCAAATCTGGGGCCGGCTCTACCCTGCCAAGTAGGCTAGCAGCTTCCCAGGGACACCCTGCCCTGCCCAGACCATGGTCCAATACGGCAACACACCACTGTAGTGGCATGGATTTGTTTGACCTTGATTTCATCAGGAGAGCCAATAAAATTCCTGCACAGCCCCACATGGCTTTGTTAAAGCTGTCAAAAGCAAAAGCAAGTTGTACGAAGTTGTAAAAACAGACAAAATCAAATTCTTTTTCTGAACTTAAAAAATTACTTTTATTTTAGGAACCAATAAAATTATGGCAAATATTTACAAATAATTATCTCACATAAAGGTTACATAAAATCAATTCTTCACAAGTAACAGTCACTCATGAAAAGACACACAGATATTGAAACTACGCCAATCTTATTGCAAGTTTCTCCAACTAATCTAAAATAAAAGTGTTGCAGTCAACCATTTAACTTAGAATAAAACCACAAATTCCAAGTTTGACGAGAAAAAAAAGGTAAAAAATTAAACCCAAATCCCACCCCTGTTTTCTCCCAAGTCCCACCCCAAGCCCCTGCCCTCCTCCCAACAAAAGAAAAATATGTCCAACATCTTTGGCAAATTGGCACTGCTGTAATTACATTCAAATATTATTACACACAAAAGCAACACACGTCACTAAGAAAAAAAACCACCAATATTTCAAGTCAGGTTATTTTCTACTAGAAAAAAAGAATACAAAACATACACATTTTTAAGAAGCATTTTTTTTTTCAATCTGTTGGAGACAGATCATCTCCCACTTTCAAAGGCAATTCAATTGTGGTTTTTTTTTTTTTGTACTTTTTTATGTACTTTTTTTTTTTTTTTTTTTTATTAAGCGTCTATGCAGGCATCACAAACTTTGGCGGATATAGTAGATATGTATTTCTTTGATGCTGGAAGGCCAGTCCCTAAGACAAAGTCAACTGTCTCAAAGCATGAAAAGCTAAATCCATGTGTCTTCCTGGCAAAGAGTTTCATTTGCAATGTAATCTGCATTTACTTCTATAAATAGTCAACATCCAAAGGCCACTAGAGGGTGAAGAACCGGGGCAGCGTCTTCCGGCAAGAGTCAGGGCAAAACCCAAGTCAGATTTCCACCCTCCGCCCAGACTTTGAGGCCCAGCAGCCGGGGCCAAGGAGGGGCCCCTCACTGCCCACGATACCCCACTCTGGGCCAGTGGCGTGGGGCCGAAGGATGGGCTGCTGCAGGTCTGCTCACCATCTCTGGCCAAAGGCAAGGAGAGCAGGCAGGAATTGGCGTGAGGAGACTCAGCACTAACTCTGAGTTTCAAGTATGTCTGAGGTACAGGGGTGTGTGTGTGTATGTGCATGTACACACTCACATGCGCACATATGGAGGGGAAGGCCTGATCCAGAGGCTTTGAGCTTTGCAAGGCATTCCAAATAGACTCAGGACTTATTTATTTTTAGCTTTATAGCAATTAATTGGCTATTGATTGGTTGGAATGTTCAACTCTCCATTTCCTCAAATACAATAAAATAGTTTCATTAAAATGTATTCATGCTTGAAAATAAGGGAGCCATTAAATGGTTTCCTTTCTGTTCCACTCCAAGGGAAATGCACCGTTTGTAAATCAAAAATCCATCATCCAAAATCACTTGTTCTTAATGGTGCTTTTGGAGAAGATGAGAGACATGGCCTTAAGCATGGTGGTTTTGGGGATAAGGGTGGCCCGGTGGCCATAGTTGCAGGATTGGGTGGGCCCGGGGTTGGGACGGGTAAGGCTCAACTTGGCCTCCTCTAGCCAGGCCTTAGAGTCAGGGAAGGGGGCACAGAACTCCCAGTCTCCCCCTTCCCCTGCTATTTCACACACTTCCTTCCCTGTGCCATGCTCAGAGCTGTCTAAATCTGAAAGGTGGGATTTCTGCCCACAGGCCAAATACACTACCTGAGACTGACTCCATTTTAGAATTCATTAAGATTTCCTCACTAACTAGATAAACAGCTGCATTTTCTCCTTGTGCCACTCAGGGCCCAAGGTCTGGGAAGAGGAATATCTAGACTTACTGCACGGTGGTTATGTTTACCCCCAACTTGAGATGGGCTAAATGCCACCCCTGGGAACACATGGACTGAAACTTTAGACTGGCAGGGACATGATCCTGAGGTCTCCTTTGATCCTGGGGCGGGGGTGGTCCAGGAAGGGGACCCCAGTGTTGAGAAATTACAGCGAATGAAAGAAAGTCTGGTGCCTGCCTGCTCCTGGCAAGCAGCCCACGGCGGAGATACTGCAGACCCCTCAGGAGGGCGGGCAAGCTAGGAACGCGCTTCAGTCCTCCACAGCAGCCCCTGGGGACCCGGCCACCACTCTGGAGGTGCAGCCTTGAACTGACAGTGGGGAAGTGCAGATCAACACCTTGCCTCCGCCATGAATATGCAAGAGGGAATCCTGAGGTAAGGGGACATCAGGGGACAAGGGGCTGAAGGGGCTGCTGGGAGGTGGGGCAGGCTGCAGGCTAGGAGTCATGGCCTGACTGTCCAATTTTCCAATAATGTGTTTTGTTACCTTTTATGAAATGCTCTTGCCTTGGACCTCTCCGAGGCCAAAAGAAGTAAAGGAATAAATTCTCCAGGAGCACCGACGTGCGTGCCTGGAAACCATCAGAGGCAGGCTCCTCGATGGGTGACAAGGCCAATGCTGTAGAGCCAGCTTCTTAGCGGGGCCACCGAGGAGCTGGTCTAGCTGAGCACTATGGGATCCACCCACGCCAGCCTGGGCCTGGCCTATCCAGGGGCCTGGATTTTTCTCTACCCTCGGGGCAGCTGTGTCTCAGACATATCTTGTTTCTAGGTATTTGTCAGGAGTGCTTGGTTTGTTTTTAAGATTTGCTCCCCATGGCTCGGAGCTAAATTCTAGCTGAAATGTCATCCAGAGGGGGTGGGGGGGAGGGTAGCTGGTGCCAGAGGCTGCAAAAGGCAGGGCAATTGCTCTGGGATGTGACTTCTCATAAAGGGATTTCTCCCGCCAGTGCCCTGTGGCCACCACTGGGGCTCTTCCCTGCACAGAGGAAGGGCCCCAGCAGCACTGACCTCCTCCCAAAGCCAGTCCCTCCACCCTCACCACCTCCAACTGTTCTCCCGCACCCACCTTCAAAGCCCAAATGGCCTGCAAGAACCCCGGGTAAGGAGGGAGGGGAAAGGGCTGGGGATGCCTGTTCCTGACAGTGACAGGACAAACAATGTGAACCTCATGCTCCATCTCTCTGGGCTCCCATTTCCCCCCAGATCTTCAGTGAAGAGCAAGGAGGTGAGGAAGAGGGGTGCCTGGGGGCTCAGTCGGTTAAGTGTCCAACTTTGGCTCAGGTCGCATCGGGCTCTCTGCTGTCAGCACAGAGTCCACTTCAGATCCTCCGTCCCCTTCTCTCTCTGCCCCTCCCCTGCTCATTCTCTCTCAAAATAAATACATTTTAAAACAGGAGGTGAAGAAGAAAGAGAGCACTGGACAAAAATTGGGGGTCACAGGGGCACCTGGGTGATTCAGTCAGTTAAGCATCTGACTCTTGGTTTCGGCTCAGGTCATGATCTCGTGGTTCATGAGTTTGAGCCCTGCATTGGCCTCTGTGCTGACACTGCCTGCTTGGGATTCTCTTTCTCTGCCTCTCTCTCTGCCCCTTCCCAAATTGCTCTCTCTCTCTAATAAAGAAACATTTAAAAGATGGGGGGTCAAATCTAGTTGCCAGTGGGTCAAATTTGACCCATATTTTTTTGGCCGGAAGAGCATTGTAAAGGCTTCCACATTTAAATGCCATTGGATGGGGCAAGCAACCTGGCTGTCTCAAGTCCAGCACCCATGCTGCCTCGTGCCTGCCTGAGGGGCAAGATTACTCCACCTGCCGGACCCGGAAAGTAGCAGCTTGGGGCCCATGAGATTGTGGTCTGTGTTTCCCAGGCCTGTGAGTACCCTAATGGGGACTCCTGCATACTGTCACAGCCAGGGCCACAGTCTGAAGCACAGTGGGAAGGATAAAGAAAAGAGTGAGGGACATCTCATGACAGACATCTCATGGCACTGGAAACTTAGACCCTGGGGGTCAGATCTGGGCTCACGTCCAGGCCCTGCCACAGCTGATGGTACAGTCTTGGACAAGATCTGATCCCCTCGGAGTCTTGGGACACAGCAGGGAAGAAGTCTGGATGAAACCTCAGAAGCAATGATGTGAATGAATCTGGGCAGACTTTGCAGGTCTTGGTGTTAATGGGAACTAAGTTAGACCAGCCAAGCTACTGACCTGCAGGCCCTTCGGTCAGGCCAGCCTCTGGGTCCCTGCTCTTTCTTTCCTCATTGTGGGTCTAGGGGGTTCTAAGGGATTGAAGGGTGTGTCTAAGCCATAGGCTCCCATGACAGGAGCACAATTCTGTGGAGGCCAAGTGGGGCCCGGAGCTCTGAGAATTCACTTCACCTCTGTCTTGCCACGCGAGCCCCAAATCTGTTTTCCCATTTGTAAAATGGGCATTGTGATCTTTACCCCAGAGAACGGTCAAGGATTGCAAAGCACCATTCAATGTCAGTTACGAAAGGGCTAACCCTAACTAAGGCGCCTTGGGAAAGGGATGTTGGATTTGATAGGTCATCAAAGTTTTCAAGGCTGGAGCTAGACTAATGGTATGAAACTTTTCCCTAAAATTCACAAGGTCCTTTTCCAAAAGTCAGAGCTGGAACATGGGGCTGAATGTCCCTAGGCCTCCAGCCATAATGCTGGTGAAAGCCCTGGCCTTGTGTTTTCCACTCAGAATTCTCTGGCATTTACTCAACGGCTTGTGTCCTTTGGAACCTTTCTCTCCAAGCTCCAGGCAGCTCAGCCAGCATGGGAACCCCGAGCCGGAGAGAGCAGGTACGTGTGTGAGAACACGCATGTGCATCCATATGCTCTTGTGCTTCTGCCTGGTAGCTCCAGGAATCAAGTGCTTGTCTAATAAATACAAATGCGATCCGAAGACCAGCAGAGCCTCAGAGAGGAAAGGCATGGAGGGAGTTCATCACAGGGCAGGGAGAAGGAACAGGATGGGGCCAGGCGGGCTTTGCTGAGGAAGGACAGTGTGCACTTCAGGCAGTTGGTTCAGGGAAGACTGACCTCCCAACAGCCTGAGAGCACAAGGAGGGATGAGGATCAAAAGGCCTGACCCCATCACTTCCTGCAGAAGGGAGGGAGGGAGGGAAGGAGGAAAGGAGAGGCCAGCTAACATACCTTCTCCTACCTTGCTTGGCAGGTGGAGGCTGGAGCCGGTTTATCTTGTTTTCAGAGGTGGGCTCTGCCCCCAGCTGCCTCCCGTCTTTGCCCAGCAGGTTGCAAAGTGGTGGGTGTGCCTGCAGTGAGCTCACTGTCCTCACTTCTTCCCTGGGTGACTGGGCTCCCTCAGCAGTGCGAGCACTCCAGGACCCTCCATCTGTGGCAGTGGACCCAGAACAACCTCCCACTGCCCTTACTCAACTGCCCTCCCCAGGGATGGGAGGGTCGCCTTGTTCCAGGGGTCAGGGGGCTGAATGCCAGCTTCACATCTGCCAGTCACTGCTTGGGGACTCCACCTTGTTGAGCCTCAGTTTCCTCTTCTGTGCTACCACCTTGTAGGATGTTGGGGGAAAAGCACTTGGTGGTGGCCAGAGGAGGTCTGTTCTATCTTTCTGCATGGCCCTGGGCTTCCCCAAACTGGGCCTCAGTTTCCCCTGCGGGGAGCTGGACTAGGTCTTCTCCAAGGCTGACTCCCACGCCTCTGGGTGTTCCCGTTTCCCATTTGGTCCAAACATTAGCAGGACTCAGGTGCCCACCCCAAATGCTTGCTCAGAAGTAGAATACCTGCCCCGGATGACTGTTACAGCCCCAGCATCCTGGGAAAGAGGAAGGCAGGGAGAGCTGTAGGATGACCCTGCAGGTGACCCTGCTTACCAAGGCAGCTGAGGCTCAGAGAGGTGAACATATTGTCTGAAATCCCATAGCAAGGAAGAGGTTTGACCAGGACAAGACCTCTCAGGCCCAATAATGTCAAGTGCAGGCTCTCTCTGCCCCAGCTCTTTGCCAGCTTGGTGACATGCAAGCACTGGGGACACTGTCACATGAGATGGCAACATCCATTGTTCTCATTGTAATTCAGCCCAGATTTGGATAGTGCCTCCATCTTGCTGTCCTGAGTTGGCAAAAGAGACTATTCAAGGAATTGAAGCCCTGGGCAAAGAGATGGTGGCCCCTGGTATCCCTATTTCAAAAACACTCCCAGTTCACACACCAGTTCCTCACAGCCTGTCCTTATCTTCCCAGAAGGCCTTCCTCTGTCTCTTGCATCCTCCCAGGTGAGTTTTTCTGATCTCACCAGCCTATGGTGAGTTCTCCAAGCCTCCCCACCCCCAGGCCCCTGGGGCCATTGGCCATGGCTCTGACCATCACAACCCCTTGCATCAACAGGTACATACCCACTGTGCAAGGTTAGGCATCTGCTCCCACCCCACAACCTCTATTCCCAGCTGCGTACTAGGCTCCACGAGGATGGGGAGGGGCTGATCAGGAAATTCTGGCTGACTGCTGTAGGTGTTTGTGGCCCTCAGTGCAGGAAAATCCTTTTTGTTCATCATTGTCTACATGGCAGGGACAGGCTTGCCCAGAATCCACTCTCTGGCATCCTGCAGGGTGGGAGAAATGTCCACGGTGCGTGTCCAGTGTGATATGCGCCTGGGCATTCTTCAGAAAACACAACCCAGTGCAGTTCAGTGGTTCCAGGGGCTTGGGGTTCCCGCCTTGGACTATGGCCTCCTGGGTCCTGTCCAGCCCTAGCATTCGAAGTCCACAATGCAGTCAGCACCTTGGATAGCATCTTACTTTAGCGTAGTAGCTGAAGACTCTCCCACACAGTTCTCTTTGAGTCCTTTGATATGGAAAAGAGCTGCTCACTCTGCATTGGGCCCAAGGAAATGGAGTCAGGAAACCAGGGCATCTCTCCAGAGTGTGTTTCTCCTGAGGAGGGATCTCAGGGGGGAAGCTTGAAGCGTAACTAGCCCAATGAGACTCCTAGTCCAGACATTAAAGAAGTAGCAATGAGCAGGAGGCTGGGCCCTGAGGTGGACATCCTTAGTCTCAAGGGCAACTCCAAGCCCACCTGTGGGGTGCAGCCAGGACAGATGGGATGCTCGGCACACAGGTCTGAGATTTCCTGTGACACATCGGGAGTACTGGATGCGTAATGGGTGGGCTGTCCACTCAGCTGGACCCTCAGGCCCACAAAAAAGCAAGAAGGTATTTACATGGGTGCTGTGGAAGCAACAAAAGCAAGCTCTCCTTCCCAGGCCTGGGGCAGGAAGACAGGTGGATGGTCAGACAGCTGGGGACTGGCAGGCTAGGTTGAGGCTACAGTTGTCTGAAGACTAGTCCGTTGGTTTGCAGAGACCCAGTTGCCGTTGGGAGAAGCTCACTGATTGACTCTTAGAAACGGACATATGTCTACAAGTCCAACAGCCTTACCATCGAACCCCAGAGTCCCTGGCAGGAAAAGGTTGGGAGGGAGTTTCAGGTGAGTGGGGGTTGCTGGGGGATGGTCTCGTTGGGCCCCTCTGGCCGTCTTCAGAGGGGCTGAGAGGCTATCGCCCTCAGTGATATGTGTTATAAGTGCTTGGCGCCTGCCTGGCTCCGAGGGTCAGTGACGGTCATAGGCAGTGGCAGCCGCAGGCGGGGCAGCCCCTCGGGCAGCAGCGCTGTAATAGTATGGGGAGCCTGTGAAAGATAGAAGAGAGCACAGAGTTCGAGGGTGACCTTGTGCCCACAACCCCATTCCTGGGGTCCCCTTTCCACTAGTGTCCCCCACATCCGCACTTTCCTCCCTCCCAGCCAGTCCAGGCCACCAAGATCTCTGTCCCAGTCTGTTCTCCAAATTGCAAACCTAACCAGGGTTGCTTCCAGCTCACAAAATTTCAAGACCTCCTTACCGCTTAGAGCTGGAGTGGGCAGACTGGGGCCCTCAGGTCAAATCCTCCCTGCCCATTGTTTATTGGAGTAAACAATGTTTTATGGGAGTTCAGCCTTGCCCCTCTGTTTCTGTGTTGTCTGTGGATGTTTTCATGCTATCACAGAAAAGCTGGATATCGCAACTGAGACCACACAGCCTGCAAAGCCTACACTACTTACCATCCAGCCCCTGAATGGACGAGTTTGCCAACTTCTGACCTAGAGGCTGAAAAGTCATCACTTCTTAGTCTGCCCTGTGGCTACGTTGTGACCTCGCTCTGCTGACCTCTCTGGATTTACCTCCCACAACTACTGCTTCCCACTCCACACTGCTCACACATCACCTCCAATGAACTCAGACTCTGTAGACGTCTCACACAGACCCTAATGCTACTAGTAACTACCACGGCTGAGTGCTTCTTTGGCCCCACACTGCGGTGTCCTTCACATGTGTTGTCTCACTTCAACCTACTGGGCAGGTGAGCTAGCCCATTTTATCATACTCTCATGCCTCTGTGCCTTTTCCCCATGCTCTGCTTCCTGAAGCCCCTTGCCCTGAGCTCACACTCCTCTGCAGCCCGGACCCTGTGCTCCGATCACCTCTTCAACTGCTTCTTCCTCTGCCCATGGACGGAGAGCCCCACAAAGGCAGGGGCTGTGCTCTGCTCCTCTTGGTGTCTTTCTTTAGTCCCCAGCATGTAGCCTGGCATGTGGTGTGTGCTCACAGCCAGGTCTGTCGAGTCAGTGAACAACAGCACTGAGTAAACAAATAATAGTGACGACCCCTGCCCAGTCGTTCATTTGTTTTCTGGCTCTATTGCAGCAAGGGGCAATAATGCACAAATGTCACACCCAGACCAATGTTCAGAGTCGGGAGGGGAATTAGAGCTCTGAGAGAAGAGCTCTGGGAAACGCAGGATTATTCTGGCAGGGTCAGGCTTCCTGGAGGATGTGGGTTGGACTGGGTCTGGAGGGCAGGAAGATACGGACATGGGGAGACTGAGGTATGTGAGTACACGGGAGAAGGGCCAGGTGCGCATGCCTGTGACCTCCAGACAGGGCCAGTGTGGGGGCCAAGCTGGATTCCTCCCACATGCTTTGGATGAGGCCTCCAGGAGGCCTATTCTGTGCCCTAACTCCTCCCCAGGGATGAAAGGGTCTGAGGAGCTCACGGAGACCAGCAGACTCTCAGAGCCACAAAGGTTCGAGATGCTAGGCTGCTGCCTCCTTCTACAGGTGAGGAAACTAGGCTCAACAAAACCATGTGCCCAACACCACAGGGCCTCTCAGTGTCATGGCCTGGCCTGGATTCAGGACACTTTCCACCACAGTGCAGTTCATGGCCTGTACAGTGCTGGAGGGCTGTGTCTATCCAAGTGGGGCCCTGGTAGCCATCAGAGATCAATGCATCTCTGGGGGTGGGAATAAGGAGCTTCTTAGTTCCCTCGGGGAGCAGATCCATATTAATTCTGAAATCTCAGCCAAATCCAAACCAATCCTGGCAATTCTCTCAGATACCATAACTGAGCATCACGCCTGGAGGTGGCCAGTCAGGCTCTATCACTCTTGGCTGAGTGACCTTGAACAATTGGCTTTACTCCCTTGAGTCTCAGTTTTCTCATCTGTAGAAGGGGGTCACAATGGGGCTATACGAGGGTACCATGAGATAAGGATGTTTCTAGGCCCTTTCCATTAACTCTTTCAATCTCCAAAACCATTCCATCGGGTAGGAGCTAGTATTGTCCCCATGTAGCAAATGAGGAAACGGAGGCACAGAGAGAGTAAGTAGCTTCCCTAAGATCACACAGGTAGTATGTAATCAAGAGGGCAAGACGGGGTGGGGAGGCACTTTGGCATGTGCTACGGGCCCTCCAAACCCAGTCCCAATTAGCAGATATGCTGCTTCCTTCCTGTGCCCCCCTGGGAGGCAATATGGCTTAGGCAGCAATGACAACACGGGAGGAGCAGGCTGTGCCTTGCCGTGTTGTTCCAGGGGCAAGGACACCGATCCCGTGCCTATGTATTCCCAGAGGGGGGTTTCCTGATGCCTTCTCTGTGACCTTCTAGTTGGAGCCCTGACTCAGAGACACCTGTCAGCCGGCCTCCTCTGCTCTCTCTTCTGCGATGGGGACAGCATTAGGACAGTCACCCACAGAGCATCTGCAGTGCCAGCCCTGCCTCCTGCCTGAGGCCCAAGCGAGAGGAGTGTGTGTGTGTGCGTGCGTGTGCATGTATGTGTGCGCATGCCTATGGTGGGGGCATCCCCGCACACCTGGGTGTGGCACAAGAGCTGTCCTCACACATGGGCCTCGAGGGACAGGAAATGGAAGTAAGGCTCCTTGGAGGACCCTGGCTCAGTCCTCCAAGCTCCCCACTGGCCACCTCTCACTCCCGGCTCTGACTCACCCCCTTCCTGAAGCGTAATCTCTCGGCTAGCCCATCCGGCAAAATCAAAACTGCTTGCGTGTACCATGAGAAATGAAAACCTCACCTTACAAAGCACTCTCTCTGGTGCCCATTAGACCTCCATCCAGAAGAAATGTGTCCTTTTCTTCTGTCATTTTTCCTAATTCTCATTATCGTCAATTTACTTCTCGACACAATCATTCCAGGCTCCCGCTCACTCCCTCATCCCCTCAGAGGGCCACAGGCACGCCCCATTCTGATCCTAACTGGCCACTGCTCTTCCCCTCGGTCTGCCTCTGTGCCCTCCCGGCCGGATCTGCGGCCCTGCCTGGGCCTCGTGTGGGTGGCCTACAGGCAGTCCCTGCAGAGGGGGCTCAGTGGGGAGGGAAGTTCTCCCGCGAAGTCTTCGTTAGGTGGCCTTGCCCCTTCTCAGTTTGGTGGCATTTCTGTGAAGGGGGCGTCAAGCACGCTGGCGAAGTGTGGGCAGTGTGGGCATGGGTGTGAGCACATGTGCGTGTGTGTATGGAGGGTCTCACCCGTCTCCACAGCTCCCACTGATCTAGCGGGAGCACCACGGAACCTCAGAGATTTCCACACCGTTGGTGCCCTCCCAAGTCAGTCTACCTCTCTGGTCCAGTGGGATTCTTTCAGTTAGAGCCCTGAAGACACTCTGGGTAAAGGGCAATCGGTTGATGTGAGTGAGCCTGGAACTCATTTGCGAGACTATGGTAGAGGGAGCCTTGAAGCTCACCCATCTTTGGGAAAGTGGGGTCACTGCTCATTCAGGGCTGTGGGCCTCAAGAGAACATCACGTCGGCTCCTTGCTTGAAGGAAGCTGCCACTGGCAATTACCCTCATTTTACACCTGAGGCAGCTGAGGCCCAGATTGGCTGTGACTCCCCAGGTTATAGGCTTGGACGGTGCAGGGGCCACCTCTCAAACCTGTAACTGCCCAACATTGTTCACACTTTTCCTGTATTTGCAGGGTTTCCTGTGGTGTGAGGCCCGCCTCTTTGAGCTAGAAGTCAGAACTCGTTCCCCCAGCTCCGCCTGTTGCGAGGACACAGGTATGTCACCTAGACTCTGCCACTTAGACTCCCTTGCAAATGGCTTCGATTGGGAAGGGAGCAGCGCGAGGAGGCGAGGAGGCTGAGTGGCTTGGCCTGCTAGCATGGTCCGGCAGCCTGGCTAGTGCAGCAGCATAAAGCACAGAGCCAACTGGTGGCAGCAGGAGGCTAGAGCGGCCCGTTGGTGTGTGGCTGGGTGCTGTTCCTGGCCGTGTGTCCCACACCCTTGTCTCCTCCTGGAGATCCTGGAAGCCCACAATATCCCTCAAAAAATTGGTTTTCTGCTTAAACCAGCCAGAGTAGACTCTTGTTTGCAATGGAAAGTCTGACAGGTACATACAGAATAACCTGGCTTTCAAAAATTGACCACAGCTATTTGCATCACATACAGAGTCTGTATTTAGGACCCTCAAAGCTTCCTATGGAGGGACGAGGCTGAAGTACTGTTCAGATTGGTCAGGGAGAATGAGAGTACCACATCATACACTGGGTGTGAAAATAGGCCCTGGGGTCAGGGTAGCCTGAGTCCGAGACCTCATTCTGCTACCTGCATGCTGTGTGACCTCAGGTAAGTTAATTAACCTGAGTCTCACTGTCTTCATCTGTATGTGATGAGAGACTAGTATGTGCTCCCTTGGACTGTTGAAATGATAAAATAAGGTAACCCACATGAAAGCATTTTTGCCCAGTGGCCACACAATCAGCAGGTACTCGTTTAGATGGACCGAGTTTTGTTCCTTCTTCCTTCTCTCCATACTGGCTCCGGTCCCTCTGAAGGCACTAAGCACTTCCTGCACAGACACACTTGCCTGAGGCTCCCTCACCACCAGCCTGGGAGCTCCCTGGGACAGAGTCCGCTTCCTTTCCATACCAGAGACACAGCCCACGCCTAATAACTGGGGACGTGAACTGGATTTCATGCAAGCTTGAGCAGCTAAGGCCTCAGAGGCAGTCTAGTCCCACCCTTCCCTTGCCATCCTCTTGGACCCCAGACCCATCCCTCTGGCCCTACTGCTGCTAAAATTCTGGTTCAGGGAGACCATGGTCAGCCCTGCCTCGTAAGACTGAGAGCTGGGTCTGAGGCTGAGACCGGGGCCTCTCAGGGCGGTTGTTTAAGGAAAAGCATCTGGTAAGTGGAGACATGGTTCAATACTTAGAATTAATTTTTACGCAAACCAAAAAAGAAGTCTCAGACATTGGTCCACAGATCAGCCCCTCTGGGAGGCCATAAAAAAGACCCTAGTCTTCTATAAATGAAATCTCCAGACATGGGGACCTGGGTACTAACTGGCACGCTTTTTTACTGTACCCACAAGTTTTGCATGATGCACCAAAGTGCTGTGGGCAGTCTGAGGCCTCAGCGCATAGAAGGGTGGTCTATATGTCTATGGCACATGTCTGTCCTAATTGCCTAATCACGTTTGTGACTTCATGGCTTCCTTCCGTCACAGACCCATGTCCTGGCAGTTTGAGTCTGAAGGTACCAAGTTCTTGCTTTTATGATGAAGTCTGTTCCCAAATCCTAAAATAATAATAATAGGTTCTGACTTAAGCAGGCCTTGGTAAGCTGGACAGACAATCTGGATGGCCTCTGAGGCTCTTTGGGGCAGGATTTGTGTTGTCACTTGCAGGCTCATTGGCTAGCTCTGCCCCCACGTGGTGAGTGACCTCTGTCAGCCCTGGACTCTGGCTTAATGCTCCAGAAACTTGAGCTCTCATTATCACTCACCAGCTGGTTTCATGTAAGTTCATTTCAACAAAACAAAAGGCTCTCCTTGGCTTTTTTTGAGGGCTGAGTTAGCCCTGCTTGGTCTTTGGAGTGGCCCAAATATCCTTGATGATGTATACAGATCAGGCTGGCCCCAGCAATGGATGATCTGGGTGCCAGCTGAGCTCAGAATGGCATGACTTGGAAGGCCTTCAGCCACAGGGTGATCAGTTTCCAAATGGAGCTGGCTATGCTGATGTCCATGGCAGACATCACTAATCAATCACTAAGCCTCAGAGTCCTTATCAAGACGGTAGCCACTACCAATCAATCCAAGTTGGCCTCCTTGCTGCCTCTTAGAAATTTCTCACTGGAATATTCAATGATTCTTAAGAAAGATATTACTTCTGGGCAGTCAGACAGTTTTTCTACATTCCTCTCATTCTTTCAATGCCCTTTTTCCTCTGTTTCCCATCTTAGCCACTTTCCCTTATCCACCAACACACCTGGTGGAGGGATAAGGGTGCGTGGTGGGCTGCAGTGTGTTCACTGTCTGCAGCTCCCATCACAGCTCCCAGACTGCTGCCTGTCCCCACTCGGGGACCAGAACTCAGGCTGTCAAGGACCTTGGCCCAAAGAAGGGTCCTAATGGGGCAGCTGATGCCCCAGGGGCCCCACAGGGCCTCTGCCAGTACTCACCGAGCAGCCCCGGGTTGGGGAACCTCCAGGAGTCGTTGTACGAGGGATACTGAGGGTGGCTGTAGGGGCTCCCGGAAAACTCGCTCCCTGCATGTGGTGGGTGGGGAGAGAAATGGGAACCAAATGTCAAATCAGGTTCAGAAAATGCCAGTGGCATTTGCCTCTTACAAACAGCAGGTATTTCTTGTAACCAATGAAGGCACATCTGGACCACATCCTGGCTCCGTGGACAGTTATCATCGGTATCGTCTATATTTCCTCCTACATTTTTCTCAGGAGGGGCGTGAATACCGGCCTCTAACATGTGTACCATGAAACTACCATGAGCCAGGTGTTCCCTGGGGTTACTGGACCATTTTACAGGTAAAGGGCTATTGCTTAGGGTCTCTCACAAAATGACCTTGACCCAAGTTCAAAGCTCCAGGCTGCCTGGTTCTCAGCCCTGACTGAGGCACTCCAGGACCCCAGCGTGGGTTCGATTTCACTTGCCATGTGTTTCCTGAGTGTCTCTAGACTGAGAAGCCAAAGGTGAGCTCAACTGTAGTCTGAGCATCTGTGTGGTAAATCTAGATGCGGCTGCTCCTGGGGCCTCGGACTCATGGGAAGGGTGAGACACAAGCTCAGACCCGAAGCCAGGAGAAGGCAGATGGCACTTTCCGGAGTTGAAGGGACAGCCCAATGGCTGGGAGCACAGAGGGAGGCATGTGTTGGGGCCTTCCAGGCATTGGGGAAGAGGCAGCTGTTAGCTGCTGTGTGTGCTCAAGCAGGAACTACACGCTGGGCCCGGGCACTGGGGAAAGGGCACAGTGGGCCGTAAGGACGGCTTACTCCTAGGCGGCTGCTCACAGGGCAGTGATTCTTGCCTCCAGCCCTTCCCTGTGCTCTTTCTTCAGCCCCAGGAGAGTCTGTTTAGCACCAGCAGTCATAGGAAGGACCTCAAAATCCCTGCCCTCAGACCTTGCCGCCCTGGCTCTGTAGCAGGAAGGGCCCTGCCCGGCTCCTCCCTGTGGCTGGGACTCCAGAGGGCCTGGTCTGGGCCTGACACATAGCACAGACCTCAAGGCCTGGCCCAGGCTCTGTAGGTAGCTGGCTGTTGACTGGCTTTGTAAGCCACTGGTTACAGAGCACACGGGCCCCTCCCGGGCAGCAGTGACGGGAGTTATACAGCCTCATGTGATCGCCCTGGGCCCAAACATGCCTCTATGCAGGGAGTCTTTTCAAGGACGCCAAGGAGTCAAAGGGCAGGGGCCTCCAGAAGGACCAACCAGAAGTCAGGACCTGGAGCACTGCTCCTTCCCCAGCAGCCCGGCCCAGATGTAGGGTCCCTGGGGCTCCACCAGGTCAGACAGAACAATAAAGGCGGCCTGAGGGACCAGCCACTCCCACCCCGTGGGCCCAGCTAGCCCCCTCCCCATTTCTACAGGCAACCACGGCAGCGCGTGCGACACACACACACACACACACACACACACACACACGTGCTCCTCCTCAGGCCTCTCTGGGGGCCACTCCCAGCCTGACAGGCTGAGCCTTCCAATTCTCTGTTTTTTATGCCTCAGTGGTCAGCGTGTCAGGTTCCGGCATAGGGAGGGAGAGCATGGTGACAGTGCTGGGCCGCAGCAACCCAGCCTCCGCATATCCATCAGTGCCTCTTCCTTCTCCTAGGGGGCAGGGTGGGGGATCAGAGAGACCGAGCAGCCTGGAGAAGGGGGACAGCCACCCTCCCCTCAGGGCTGCAGGCTGCCCCATCAGAGGCACTTCCTGACAGCGTAGCGCCTGGGTCCAGGGCACCGGTCTATGCCAGCAAAGGCTGTCTCTGTTTCTCCATCGAGCAGCATCATGCCTGTCTGCCAGGCTCAGCTCCAAGGCCACCTCTTCCGGGAAGCCTCCTTGATCTCCAGCCCCCAGAAGTGCAGGTCGTGGGTCCATTCAGCTGGAATTAACTGTGTCTGTGTTATCTGCCCTGCACCCTTCTCTACTGCCACCGTGTCCCCAATTGGCTCTCTGATACCTCTTTCCTTGGGAAGCTCCCTCTTCAGGTGCGCTGTTTCCCACAGCATCCCACAGTACCTACACAGGAGTCTCCTGTGATGTGGAAGTGTCTGCCCTGCAGGTGTGGGTGTGGCTCCTCGCTACACCTGTGTGCTGCCTCCCCCCAGGGTCCCCACGTGATGCCCCAGCCACAGCAGACAGGCATCAGTGCCAACTCGCCGGCCTCTGCGTGTAACACAGCAGTCTTGCCCGTGTGTCTGCACGGCTCTCTCCGTCACCTCCTTCTAGGCTCTGCTTCAATTTCATCTCCAGACCACTGAATTTGAAATGGAAACTCCTTCCACCTGATCCTACTTTCCTGCTTTATTATTTTTTTTTCCATAGAACTGATCACAATCCAACACATCTTGTTTGTGCTTATCTTGTTAATTCTGCCTCCTCCAGTACGAGGTAAGCTCCATGGGGGCAGGAGTTTTGTCTGTCAAGTTCATGTCTCTATCCCAATGTCTAGAACAGGGCCTGCCATCTAGCAGGCACTGGAAACTATTTGGTTTTCTTTTTTACTGTTTATTTATTTTTGAGAGAGAGAGTGCAAGCAGGGGAGGGGCAGAGAGAGAGGGAGATACAGAATATGAAGCACAGTGCCCGAGGCAGGACTTGAGCTCACAAACCGCGAGATCATGACCTGGGCTGAAGTCAGACGCTTAACCAACTGAGCCACCCAGGTGCCCCTGAAAACGCTTGTTGAATGAATGAATAGATACTCCTCAGTCAACTACGGACACAGATGGTGGCTCCCATCTGTTATTAGTATGGATAGCCAGGGCTGTACTGAGCACTCGCTGCATGCCAGATTCAAATCAGTTTATCTGATCCATTGTCAGTTTCCACTCACCACACCATCCTGCTCTTCAGTGGAAGATGTGAACCCCCAGGGACCCCTGCTGGTATGCTGAGTTGGGGCACGGTGGGCGTCCTGGGCAAGCCCTGCTCTGTGAGATGCCCTGGCACAGTGAACATTCTGGGTGAGGGGAGCTGACCATCTTGGGGCATGAGGCTGGCCTGCAGGCGTGCTCCAGTTACCTGCTGGACACTCTGGGATGCTGTCTGAAGTGCCACTCAGAAAGCTGGTGTAGGGAGCCCTCACCCCATGAGAAGTTGGGAGGCCAGGTCCTCAACCACCAGGGGAGCTGCCTGTCTATAAACCTGGCCTAGCCTGGCCCCAAAGATGGCTGGGAAGCCGCCCACTGCCTAGGTTCAAGTCTGCACGTTCCCATGGAACCCTCAGGTCCATTTGGCACAGAGGCTGGGAGCAAGAGTTCTAGAGCCAAGCTGCCTGGGTTTAAATCCTGAGTCTGCCTCTTCTTAACTCTGTGGTCTTCGGCAGGTCATTCAGCCTCTTCACGCCTCCATATCCCCCTCAGTAAAGTAGGAGCAACTAATGGACGCCCCTGCATTTGGTCATTGTAAAGACTGAATGAGCGATACACAGAGTGCCTGGCACACAGCAAAGGCTCAGCAGATGTCGGCCATGAGGACCATGACCCGACACTGGCCACCAGTGTCTCCCTGGCATCCAGAATCTCACTGAACCCTCCTGACGATCCTGTGAAGCTCACAAGGTAGGTGCACTTGTCTGCATTTTATATGTGAGGAGATGGAGCCGCAGAAGGTGGGGGGATTCTAAGGCTGGCATCCTGCCTTCCAGCCCAGGACCCTCTGCCTGTGTGACCTTGCTCTCCCATCTTGGCCTCTGCCTCTCTTTTTTTTCTTTAAGGTCTTTCTTGTCAGCTGAGTTTCTTTTCTTTTCTTTTTTTTTTTAATTTTTTTAATGTTTATTTTTGAGACAGAGAGAGACAGCATGAGCAGGGGAGGGGCAGAGAGAGAGGGAGACACAGAATCCGAAGCAGGTTCCAGGCTCTTAGCTGTCAGCACAAAGCCCGATGCGGGGCTCAAACCCATGAACCACGAGATCATGACCTGAGCCGTAGTCAGACGCTTAACGAACTGAGCCACCCAGGCGCCCCAGTCAGCTGTTTCATTCTCACATCTCAGGAGCCATGGTGCAGGGAAGGAGGCCCTGTCTTGAGGGCCCAATGAGTCCCACCTGCTGCTGGCTTCTCCGCATCTGGAGGCTCCAACCTCCTGCTTCATTTTCCTTCTTCAATCCACCCTCCTGACACCCCAGGAGCATTCACCTTCTTGCCTTTCAAACCTCACAGCAGCAGCTTAGGAGAGTGAATCTTGTCCAGCTGCGAGGAGGTCTAGGGAGAGCACGGGGGGCACCTTCTGGCATCCAAGGGGTGGCATGTGAGCCAGGATAGATAGGATCTTGATGTGCAGAGGGGAGGTGGGGGCCCCCCCGGGGAACATGCAGAGGTCTGGGCTGAGTCTGGCCAAAGGGTGACCCCCACAGGGCCCCAGCAGAGGTAAGCTGCAGAGCACTCTGGGTGGGGCAAGAGAGATGTGCTTCTCCCATTAGAGCTGGGACCCGGGGAAGACTAGGGAGGGCCGGCACTGGAGGGCAGCTGGAGAAGAGGAGCCTGTGGTCAGGGAGACCAGCCAGGGGACCGCAGCCACAGTCCAAGCAAGTGGGAACAGCAACGTGGCTACAATAACCATAGGCACAAAATGATGCTCTTCGGGGCAGAAAACAGAAGGCCCCACTTCCAGCTCATCGTTAGGACCCTCCGAAGTACAGCCTGCTGGCCCGAGACCACGATCACACAGTCAACACCTTCTCAAACGGTAGCTACACTTATGGTGAGCATAGCTGTGATGTATAAACGTGCTGAATCACTAGACTGTACACCTGAAACTAATGTAACACTATGTGTCAGCTACACTCAAATACAAAAATGAATTAAAAAAAAAAATAAAAACCTTCTCTTATGACTGCCCAGCACAAAGGACAGCATGGGCCCCTTGTCTCTTTCTACTAACTCATCCATGCTTTTGTTACCTCTCAAAAATACCAACCCCTTAAATGGGGAAGCCTTTTCTTTATGTATTAATAGGAAAGTTTCTATGAGGCGGACTGGGGACCCGCTCATCTCATGCCCGGGTGGCTGTCACTCAGTGGACAGTGGGACCTC